AATTATTGAGAAGTTCCAATTTCAACAGAGATGGGTCGCGATCATGAACAAAATTTTGAGGAAATATTTGAGGCCACAAGCTTCATGTGTTTGTTTCTCAGCAATATAACAAATAAAAATGGTCGCCTGGTGGAATCAAGGGCGGAAAGGAATTATAAACCAAGCAATATGCTACATAGTGATTGTGATTATACGATTCAAATTGAGCAAGCAATACTGACATGAAAGTTGAGAAGAATTCCAAAAGCTTTGTTAAATGCCTCAAAGCTATCATGTGGATCAATGTCCAGTGGTGGATTAGGTTAGTTTTATAATTATATGCATAGTGGATGATGAGTTGTGCACACTTCAGTGATTTGTATTCTGCCATCGCGCCAATAATCTGACAGTGGCATCCAGAATTTCTCTAATCATTTTTTATCCTTGTGAAAGAGAAACAATGGGGCCGCCATTTATGGTGCCCTATGGTGCCCATTCTGCATTCTGCGGTTGCTTTATAAACATCTAGATCTATAAATGAAGGCATTTTCAATCTCAGTGGATGTTCTACTAATATTTTCTGTTACTGCTTGTGATTCCACTCCTGCCTTCAGTTAGGATGATGGAGAAAGAGAATCCTCTTTTTCTATTTTTTTTACAGCACAGGCATGATATTGAATTTTGTGAACTATAAAATATCGATGTCAAACTTTGCCATGAAGTCCATAATTTATAATTAGTACGGGTGTGGGGTGGTTTACTTGGAACTTATGTCTGGTGCACTCCGGAGAATGGAATTTTTGCAGAATATGCAAGAAACTAAGCAAATTCTTCATTACGCATGAATTTTCAATTTTAACTGAGCATCGGAGTAAGTGATTCAATGGGAAACAAACGCTTTTATTCTAGGTAGTGTGCTAAATTGATCAATAATCCAAATTTGGCATAGATTACAATGCCATAGATATCATGCGTAAGTTTATGCATGCAAAGCATCCAACCTTCTACGAATGCAGGAAAACACTTTGATTGAGACTTCTGTATTGAGATTTTTTCGGAATAGTCGATAAGGGTTCAAAGTATAGGAACACCCACGTGACCCACCCCAAGAAGTGACATTTGCAATGCTAAAACCGAAATAGAGGTGCGTCCTCTAGGATCAAGCTACTATTAATCTGAAGCCTCTCACAAATAGGTGACGCTCTTACTTATAAATATCACAATACAAAACGATGCATCGCCAAACACACCTACGTACATCACACATATTCTCCTAAAATGACATCACTGTACCGTATTTTTTTTTGAAAAAGTTCTTAGAACTAAATCAGACGTATGCTGTAGTACTGCACCAGAAAAGCCACAAAAATGAGCCATGCATTCCATGATCGGAATAAATGTGACTCGTTTTCCAAGAAATAGAGTCAGCGCCATAAGCGCTGGGAAAAAATCACCAGCACCCAGGGATGCTAATCTAAAAATAATTCAATCGGCATGCGGATGTTATCCAAATTACAGTATCTCAAATATTGCTCCTTTCCTTGCAGTGGATCTTTGTAGATAATCTTTCTTATTCAACGCGTTTCGGCTTGTTGGATGCCCTGAGATGTTGACGAAGTCATGAAAAACAAGGAGGAGAGTCTTCAACTAGGATCTATTCTTAGAACCTTGTTCCTCACATCCGTGTGGCACTCACGCAGGTCCGGAGATCCGTTGCGGGGTTGCTGGCGTGAGGAACCAGCCACACACACACGCCTCTTCACAGGACTGCGTAGGAAAATTGAGAACTGCTAAGAAAGACCAGCAATAACCTGATTAACATCCGAAATTTTTAATCAAATTTGTGAGACAAGTGAGTGAAAAGAGAGACCTAATATTTTTCGATCCATTGTGTTCTTTTTATATGATGTGTGAAAAATTGGTGCAAGTGATGACGATATTCCGTGAAGAACGAAAACACAACCAGAACCCTTGTATAAATATGTTTGCATTGAAACAATTTTAAAAATATGCGGCTTCGAAGTTCACTCGGGAGAATCCAGATTTTAAAATACCTATAAATGATCAAATACCTAAAATATTTCTCGCATACTGAGCTTGACAGCTGTAAAACATATTTTTCGACAATTCTGTAAAATTCGATTGACCTCTGAAGATGTTGGAATGCGGTTTTTAAATATTCAGAATGCTGGAATAACTTCTTCCTGTGTGTCGAAAAAATGAAAGTGGGAAAGCTGGGTGAAAAAATCTGCTCCAGAAAATCCCGCGGGAATCCTGAAGTACGTATGAATCTAATGTAGACAAAAAAAATTTCATTACTCTTAGATGCATTTTTTAAATTCAGAAGACTGAACGTCGCAAATAAATATGAGAATGTGAGAGTACGTGTTTAATGATTCAGACCAAAGAACAGATAGAACTGATCAAATCTTGCATGAATTTAGACGAAATAGCTACAGTATTTCGAAAAATTGGAAAAATACTGGATGGCAAAACTTATCTTTGTATTGACCCAAAGGAATTAATTTTTGTATATTTTGATCCTTATTTTTCCGATCGAGTGTACTGTATCAAAATGAATGAAAGTGAGTTGAATGTACTGTAATCTGAGTAATATGGAGAAAAATTTCGTGTTGTTGAATAAGCTTGAATGATAATCGGAAAGGGTTTCCCTAAAACGTTGTTTTTTTTCTTCGTTGCAGACACCTCATAGAGATTTCAATTACCGATGTTTTATAGTGTAAACACGAATTTGAAGTGACGAATTTGTATCGATTTGACGAGACATTTGAATTAAGATATCGCGATTCACTACGACGAGTTCCAGAGATAGCTGCGACCTCTGGTAGTAAGACATGGTGACGAAGTTACGGCCTCCAATTGAGTTGTATCGACCACCGAGTGAGTGATATTATATCCCAACATGAAACGAAAAAAACACCGAACTAAAAGAACTAATCGAAAATGAATTTCCTGCTCTTAAAAGATCATCAACACATTTTTTTTCTGGAAAGAAGAGGTTTCGAATCCGAATTTCCCTCTCGTGATGATTGCATGCCAATCCTTTTCCTTGAAGTCCTCGGAAAATTGCGAGGTCTATATGAAAAGGAGGATCTCGCCAGCTAATTTTCGTTCATGGACGAAGAATCTCGTTTTCAATTAAAAAAAAAATTCATTCTAAAAGAGGCCGCAATGATGTCGCTGTTTGGATTCGATACCCACAGGCTTGAGAACAGACGGTGACGGAAACGACGGGGAGGACTCGTCTTCGTTGTCAGTGTCATTGATGTTCAGGGACCAAGTTCCTCAACAAAATCCGAGACAGAGTTCAACCAGCAGCCAGCATCAGTGCCAAGACACGGTTGTTGCGTTTTCCTCCTTGCCAGACACAGTGACGACTTTCGCCGCCACGAAAACCGCCCCGACGACGGTGTCGCATCAGAGCATCGGGCCGCTTCTGCCCACCCCGAGATTCCCGATGCAATCCAGGCCCTCCGCTGATTACTACTTCAACAATTTTGCAGTTCATAACCCGGCTGCTGCAGCTGCAGCTGTTGCAGCAGCAGCAGCAGCTGCTGCAAGTGCTACAGCTGGTTACGCTCCTATTCAGCCTGCTGCAATGATCCGCTTTGGTGGACCGACTCAGCTGCAGTTGTCGAAGTCGACCACGAATCTCGCCGGGATGTTTCCGGCTGCGACAAGTTTCCAGTCATCCCAGATCTTCAATGGGATCCCGTTCGCAGTTCCCATTTCTGTAAGTTGTGAATGAATGAATGAATGGGAAGCTTTATTTTCCACTTTTCAGCATTCACAAAGTTAAATCAGCCTTTCCACACCCAAACCCCCTCACCGCACAACCCAAACCCGTTCAAAGGCATTCAATCACCTCAGAATGGGAAACAGAGAAAAAAANACTGATCAAATCTTGCATGAATTTAGACGAAATAGCTACAGTATTTCGAAAAATTGGAAAAATACTGGATGGCAAAACTTATCTTTGTATTGACCCAAAGGAATTAATTTTTGTATATTTTGATCCTTATTTTTCCGATCGAGTGTACTGTATCAAAATGAATGAAAGTGAGTTGAATGTACTGTAATCTGAGTAATATGGAGAAAAATTTCGTGTTGTTGAATAAGCTTGAATGATAATCGGAAAGGGTTTCCCTAAAACGTTGTTTTTTTCTTCGTTGCAGACACCTCATAGAGATTTCAATTACCGATGTTTTATAGTGTAAACACGAATTTGAAGTGACGAATTTGTATCGATTTGACGAGACATTTGAATTAAGATATCGCGATTCACTACGACGAGTTCCAGAGATAGCTGCGACCTCTGGTAGTAAGACATGGTGACGAAGTTACGGCCTCCAATTGAGTTGTATCGACCACCGAGTGAGTGATATTATATCCCAACATAAAACGAAAAAAAAAACCGACTGACTTTCGAAATCTATTTTTGAAAAATTAACGCTGAATCTAAAATGTTGGTTCGAAAATGAATTTCCTGCTCTTCAAAGATCATCAAAACATTTTTTTCTGGAAAGAAGAGGTTTCGAATCCGAATTTGATTGCGAATCCGACTTCGTGATGATTACATGCCAATCCTTTTCCTTGAAGTCCTCCGAAAATTCGAGGTCAGAATCTCGCCTGCTGATTTTCTTTTATGGACGAAGAATCTTGTTTTCAAAAATTTTTGAATCGATTTTAAAAGACGCGATGATGTCGCTGTTTGGATTCGATTGGGTGTCCGAACTCTTGTCTGCCACTGCCTTTGCTGCCCCTCCTGAGCAGAAGCAACAGTCACAGTAACTACAAGTCCCTGGTTCAAGGAGTTGTTTTAGGCTCTGTCTCAAGTTGGTCGTCGGTCGATCAGTGCCAAGACACGGTTGTTGCGTTTTCCTCCTTGCCAGACACAGTGACGACTTTCGCCGCCACGAAAACCGCCCCGACGACGGTGTCGCATCAGAGCATCGGGCCGCTTCTGCCCACCCCGAGATTCCCGATGCAATCCAGGCCCTCCGCTGATTACTACTTCAACAATTTTGCAGTTCATAACCCGGCTGCTGCAGCTGCAGCTGTTGCAGCAGCAGCAGCAGCTGCTGCAAGTGCTACAGCTGGTTACGCTCCTATTCAGCCTGCTGCAATGATCCGCTTTGGTGGACCGACTCAGCTGCAGTTGTCGAAGTCGACCACGAATCTCGCCGGGATGTTTCCGGCTGCGACAAGTTTCCAGTCATCCCAGATCTTCAATGGGATCCCGTTCGCAGTTCCCATTTCTGTAAGTTGTGAATGAATGAATGAATGGGAAGCTTTATTTTCCACTTTTCAGCATTCACAAAGTTAAATCAGCCTTTCCACACCCAAACCCCCTCACCGCACAACCCAAACCCGTTCAAAGGCATTCAATCACCTCAGAATGGGAAACAGAGAAAAAAANCTGCAGCTGTTGCAGCAGCAGCAGCAGCTGCTGCAAGTGCTACAGCTGGTTACGCTCCTATTCAGCCTGCTGCAATGATCCGCTTTGGTGGACCGACTCAGCTGCAGTTGTCGAAGTCGACCACGAATCTCGCCGGGATGTTTCCGGCTGCGACAAGTTTCCAGTCATCCCAGATCTTCAATGGGATCCCGTTCGCAGTTCCCATTTCTGTAAGTTGTGAATGAATGAATGAATGGGAAGCTTTATTTTCCACTTTTCAGCATTCACAAAGTTAAATCAGCCTTTCCACACCCAAACCCCCTCACCGCACAACCCAAACCCGTTCAAAGGCATTCAATCACCTCAGAATGGGAAACAGAGAAAAAAAGCTGTTTATAGGGATACTAAAATAAAAGAAAATACATTCTACCATGTACAACTGCACAACTGCTGTGTATCCATACACCCCTTCTTTTCCTGACATTGAAAACAAAATATCAGCAGCAAGAATTGCAGCATAGGCCAGAATTACAGCAATTGCAGCAGTTACTGAACCCAATTTAAAGCACAATAAAGGTCTTCACCCTGTTCCCAGATAAGGTTTAGTTGAATGAACAATTTAGAGAGAATCTTTGATGAGAAATCATATAAGGCCAACAGTTTATTGTGATTCTGTATTACTTCAGAATGGGCCTCTTCATTGAATTCCAATACTGTACTTGTAAATCTTTCTTAAGCTCATTTCTATCAGTATGGAATGCTGGGCATAATTTGTGAAATGATTGAATTCATGTAGGTTTTTGCTTAGCTGAAGTTTGATTGGATTGGTGGAATAATGTCATCATTCCAATACCGGGTTATTGTTGTCAAGCCTCTCCTGGAGCAAACTCTTAAAAAAAAATCTTTCGGCACTTCACAACTGATTCAGCCTTGTACAGCAAACAATTCCTCATTCTTTTGGAATATTGGGAAGAAACCGTGAAAATTTTGATTGTAAAAGTAAGGCACCCGTTGCAAAATATCCCAATGAATCAACTCCCGCCATCTTCGTTTTTCATGAAAAAAATTAACAAGATGAACGCGTTTTTTAGTTCTACTACAGGCTTTTATTTGGTTATTATGAAAATTACACCCTTAAAGCGTATAAAGTAAGCAACTACTTCAAAAGTGCCACGAAAATCTTTGGTAACGTCTTGTGGACCATTATATATCAGAGGTGGGTACCTAGTTAACAAATTTTCAAGTTGAAATCAAGGCATAAATCCAATCGATATTGGTACAGAATTCAGTTTTTATTTTAACAACGCTGATATCATTATGAAGAACACATGTATAGAACAAGTCAAAAGGACATTACCAAGTCCATATATTCTTACAATGCAAAAAATATCACATTCTCGGAAAGAATAGTTGAATCAAGCTGATTCATGAATTATTCATGTTGCAATTCATTGGAATACGTTAAAGCAACCTTTTTTGCTCGTGGACCAGCAAATTACAACAAAATTTTTTGCAGACTGGAACTTTTCATAAAATTTTCTGCAGACCGGCAAAGTTCCATCCAATTTTTCAAGACCAGGAAAATGTTTTAAATACCTGCCATAAAGTCTCCGAAACAAAACTTGCATTGCAAAAATTAAGTTGAGACTTGAGAGTCAAGAAACAGCTATATGTATTGGAAATGTCTTGAAAAACAAATAGAAAGCTGAACTTCAATAAAGGCTTCTCGGATTTAAAACTGAAAATAATATATTTCAGAAAAGTGAAGAAGTGTCTGAGGCATAAAGTTTGATACAGTGCTAAGAAGAAAAGCTAATTTTTATTGTTCTCTGATAATTTCAACTGCCGTTTTTTCTAAAAATTTGAATGCTCGAGTATAACAGGCTTCATTACTACGCTTCTATAAATTCATCATGGCAAAAAAAACGTTTCGCGGATCGGTAAAAAACTTTTGCGGACCGGTGCTGGTCCGCGGACCCCGGATTAGGGAACACTGCATTAGAGTAAAACTATTCCATAATTCCGAGACTCTACACTCCATATCAGACTCTATTTTTTTCATGGTCTCCATGAAGAATCATCAGCAGGGCAGAAGTCAAGAACAGTTAAAGCATTCCATTTGCTTTTATGGTCTCATTATGATACCGTCATTGCTTAAGATGTGACTGAACGTCGGTGTTAATCGACTTCTCCGCCATTTGCAGACTGCACCGAAATTCCAAGCAAGACACGATCCTGGTCTTTATCACCATCAAACTGCTTCATCAGCAGCAGTTCGACATCACTTTCAACATCAGCAGCCTGTCAAAGGGAGACTCAACGACTTGGACCCGCAGCCAACATCCAATCCAAAATTTTCCGGAGCATCTCTGAAGCGATCCAAAAGCCTCGGATCGACTGATTTTCACAAAAAGCAGCAGGAATTGCGAGCGAAATCAGCAGAGCTTCTCCTTCACCAACTGCCGACTGAATCTAGGGAAATGTTCGCTGAAGCTCTGTCCAGTAAGCAAAACACAAGTGAAGTATTCAAATCGAATAAAAGGAAATTATTCCCTCGCAACCGCACCAGCGCAGAGGCTAATTCATTTTTGTGAGAAAATAATTTACTTATATCTTAAGCCGCTCACAAAGACGATTGACGAAAGAATGTACACGTACGTCTTTAAAAAAGAGTCTTGCTGATTTTTGAGTGATTGTATCAGAAGCCAAATATAGTCCTGACGTCCGGATGATCTTCAAAATATCTCTGGTTGTTCTTGAATATATTTTCAAAGAATTGCTAAAAAGCTTGAAACCAAAGACAATGTTGAGATGCTTTTGTTTTCGTTTCGAAGCGTGTCTGGAAAACGAGTGGTTGGAAATTTACATGTCCAATGAATGTATACGGTATTTTGTAAAACGACCTCAGGTTTTATTGAAAGATAACAAAATGTTCTCGATTTCGAGGCCATATTCTTGTCCAATCTCCCGTACTTTTAATCACTAAACCATAATTATTTTGCAATTTCAGGGTTGAAAAATTGCTTAGCTCAACCAAATACTTACAAAAATGAAATTTATTCGTTTTCGGTCTGTCTTATTCGAAAGATTTTAAGGATGAACCCATTCAGAAAATTTACCCGTCTCGCGTACAGCAGCCCGAGTTTTCGAATAAATTTCCGCAAAGTTCAGGTTCTGAGCAAATGTCAACATACATTTGAATCACTTCTGAGTTCTGAAGCATCTCGAGAAAATCTTCGGCTTGTGCTTCCATTTCTTTCTTCTTTTGTGATCCCAACAGATCCCAAAGATTTATCCGTCAAGCGGCTGATGAAACTGGCGGAAGCAACCGTGGAATGCGCTGTGGCAGACAAGAGGCTTTCCCGTCCTTGTGCTGAAATCTGCGCATCAATTACTCAGGTGGGATATAGTTCAGCATGTAACGAGTTGCAAATATATTGAATAGGTGTCAGTCTTTCAAATTTAAAACGAGTATCTGCGTAGATGCGGAGGAATAATGTAAAATACGGATCGCAAGAGGAATGAACACATTTTCAAGAACTCGACGCGAGGAATATTTTTGTGGGTTAATCCTTTAATTTAAAAAAAAAGTTCGAAAGACAATGCACTGGTTTCTTCAGAACCCCTCCCGCACTAAATTAATGAAATTATATACTGTATATTATTTAGTACCAGAATTAGTAATGAAGGAGAAAACTAGGGCAATCAAAGTGATTCTATCTTTTCAAATGATTCAACCGATTTTTTTTCATTGAATGCAACATCACCAGACTTCCGAAGATGCCTGAAAATATATCCTGAATCGGTTCAAAAAAGTGTGTCTCAAGATATTAACGAGCGATTTAAGAATATCAATTTGCTGTTTTTCGCAATGATGAGAATTTTTGCAACACAACCCTGTCTCAAAATAGTACAAAATCTGCCTCGTAATTTTTTTTTTCTCGTGGCTATAATCGAAGCACACGCCGAAATCTATGCAAATACAGCACATGAGTTCAAATTTGTATGCTAAATATAATGAGTTCATCAAAGCTCAAGCAACAGCCACTGCAAAGAACCACTTGTTCATGTGCATCTGTGAAATCTGGAATAAAAATAACTCCGAAACCTTCAACCATATTCGTGTACTAAAAATTGCAGACAAAATTTTGTTCATGTCGAAGAAGTAAATATGAGCCGTTGACCTAGACAAAGTAATTTAGCGAGATGGCTAGACAATGTACATTTTAAAATGACTAAGTGAAGGAGAATATTCACCAGGAACATCCAATAAAGTAAAAGGCAAATTGACTTCACGAATGTACAGTTTTTTTTTCTTGGCGATCGACAGAAAACTTGCTATAATATAATTTATTTTAAACCCCACTCCACGATTTTGCATAGTAAGAACGATTTCTCGACTGAATTAGTGTACATCGAAAGTATTTGCTTCATTCCGCATGTAGAGTCTTTCTCACGTTATGAACGATTTCCCCCGAGACTATATTTTTCATTTAACATATTTTTTCAGAAACTATTCCCATGCTTTTTTGAACTCTGTAAGTTGATACACAAGTTTTTTTTCTGAGGTGATGATGGTTTCGAAGTACCGGCCATGTGAGGTTAAAAACGGAATCCAATTTTATTAAGGGTTTGTATATATAAAGGGCGTTTGTAAGTTAAGTGCAGATTTAATGTTTCGGGAAAATTATTAAATAAATTTGTCCTTGACTTGAGTTGGTGTCATTTCAACCCTTGCAAGTGTTTTGCGAATGTTATATCTCAAAATTTCTACATTCCAGAAAATATGTTGAAAAATGTTCTTTCACATCTCTCAGCAGTGAACTCAAATTTGTCCATTTTTGTTCCAAACTCCTCCAGAAGTAATCTCTTTTGGTTTGAAACTTCTCCAAAAGTAGTCAGTTTTTGTCTGGAACTCCTCCAAAATAATCTAAAAGATTTTGCCTGAGTTGGACAGATGCGGACGTCTTTTTCCTTGGAGGAATTTTGGATCAAATTTGGACAATCATTGGATGAGTGTGGACGTCAGTCCGCAGTTCCGCCCATATCCAATGAAAGAAGTAACATATTGGACTACGATGGAAAAGTTTAGACTATTTTAGGACACCTTCGGATGAAATTTGGACTACTTTTGGATAAATTAATCAATCTGGATCAACTTGGAGGGAAAATAGACAACTTTGTGTTCCCTGGGTGCTAATAGCAGCTTCTTTGAAGCGTGCCTTATACATTAAGGTTCTTTTTTAAATACATTGATTTTTTTAACGCAGGGAGACCCCCACATGCAGACACCTCAACATGAGGACAATTTGACATAGGGGCATTTATTTTTCAATAAAATGGGCATAAAAAACGCCCAACATACAGACACTGACTCAACATGAGGGCATTGCATGATAAAATTGCCAATAAATTTCACAAAAATTGCCTTTTATTTGGCTTGATTGCAAGAAACAGATATTTTCAACCCAAAGAGTTTTTCAAAAAAAATTCTTTGTAATTTTTCCCGTTATTTTCCCATCCATTCAGCGAATAAAAAAAATTTTCTATTGCATAGAGGGTCTTCCTTCTCTCTTTGTGACTTGAATGTTATTTTTTATATGCCAACATTTCAATGTATAGTACACAGAGATACACTATTCAATGCTCCAGATGTTCTTATTCAGTTGAAAATATATTCACAGAATTAAATTGAAGTGGTAAATTAATTTTTTCCATGAAATTCTGAAGGATATTTTTCCCGTGGAATTCTGAAGGATATTTCTTCCATGGAATACCAATTAAAAATTATGTAATGTAAGTTTCTGGGAAAACAAGACTCAACTTACGGAAAATTCAACTTAGGGACACTTTTGATGCACCAATTATGTCTGCATTTGGGGGTCTCACTGTAACTTGAATTTTATTGATGTACAGTACTGTAAAGTCAACTTTCGTTAAATATTTTTGGTGTTTTTCCTTTTCACAGCGCGAGCCTGGATTGACCTTCACTGAGAGTCTATTGAACACAAGCAGAGACTGGTTCATGCAGCGCAACGAGAAACTGTTGTTGAGCGGTAATTGCAGAGATGCCGTTAAATGGAACGCCTTCGTGGCTTTCGTCGCTGAGCTATACTTCCAGGTCTGACCTTTTCTCAGGGTATTATGCTGGGTGCTTGTCTTCTCCTTATGTGAGCAATATTGCTGAAAGGGACAGGGAAGGCTGCAAAGTTGCTGCCATTTCACCCAAATAAAACACGAAAACAAATCACATCATGCTTCAAAGAAAATATTCAATAACCTCGCAAACCTTTTTTTGAGCGCATATTTTTCGGCAGCTTTTTTATAATGATTTCTGGGAACTTTTTCTCCATTCGCCGTCAACTCGGAAACTTATATACGGTATCATTATAAATATTGAGTAAAATAGGAGCAAGATGACATTGGGCAGGTCCAACCGTACCTCGCTTTTTTGTACTTTGTTCGTATCGAAATATTTTAATGCTGGTGTAATTCTTTAAAATGGTCTCAAAAAGGAGGCAAAACACGGTTTTAAGGATGATAAAAATCGTTTGCTGAGTTCCAGTACTGGTAAATAGGACTCCGGCTAAGTTTATATAGGGCTTCCCGAAGACTTCATCCGATTCACTCTAACAAAGGTATTTGCGACGAAGTACCGAATTACGAGTACCGAAGGAAATCTTTTCGTCCAACAAATACGTTTTCAAGGTTGTTTTGTAGGGTCTCTAATCAATAGAACACTGAAAACTTTTTTAAAGGTAGGAATGTGCTCAGGGCATTTTCAAGATCGTGCTAGTGGGTTGGTTTTATTCGAAATTTGGAAGAAGTTTACTTTTACTTGCTGGAAATTGCAAATTTTTCTGTGCGGTAAATATAAAGTTACTTATACAGTAATGTACTTCGGTATTTTCTAAATTTTACGGATGAAATTCTTCTGGCAAAAAAATATGTTTGTATCTAAAAGAGAATTTATTCCTGATGGAAACATTAAAAAAATACCTAGGAATTAAATATGCTCCCTTCGTCAACTGCATGAGCGGAATGTTTTTGTTCACGGAAGCATCGAAAAATTAATTAAGCATTTGCCAAGCAAATACTGTACACGGTTCTTATAATCATGGAAATACAAAAAAAACTGAATTTGTCATTCTCTAAATCGCCGACTTGTTGTCTGTATTCCATTTCAATGTACGTGCGGAAACGAGTAGCGAAGAATTGACGAGAAATTTTAAGCATACAAAAGATTAATATATTTTTAAAAATTAAATTTGTTGTTTCATGCAGGAAACCTCTGACCACGATTTGTTTCATTCTCGATTTCGGAAATGGAATGTGTTCATTTACTGTATACCGAAAGAGCAAAGCTTACTCGAAAATTTCTTTGGGTTTGCTTGAAATATTTTCTTTTAATCCGTTCATCTATTCCACAAAAAAATAAACTAGTAAACGGTGTGCATGATTTCGTTAGAAATTCCTCGACGATGACTTCCACTCTTTTGTGGGTCGATGAAGGGGAGCAAAGGGACGGGATTTTTTGTTTACCCAATGGGTATGGCTTTTGTTTCCAGATGAAAAGCCAGCGAGAGAAGAGCCCCGACGTGAAGCCAGCCGCCATCTTGCTACAGATCCTCTACGAATGCGTGTACGTTTCCCTGAAAGCAGGCAACTTGAACAACCACCTCGAGGTAAGAAGCTTCTCTTTTCCCTTCTTCGTCTTCGCGTGTGCGATGAATGATGACGGAGAGGTTGAATGAAGTGGTGTTCGGGATTTTTTATTTTATTTTCATTCCTTTAAAAAATAAAATATACAAGTTGGAAGCACTGACGCTGATCCTGACGTCGGTCGGCAAGGACTTGGACGCCGAGAAGAGCCGGAAGATGGACAACTTGTTTTCTGCGATCCGGGAAAACTTCCTGCTGTCTGCCGACCTGAACCCGGAAGTTAAAAAGACTTTGTTGCAATTGGTGGAGCTTCGGGCTTCCGGCTGGCAGCTTTCCAAAGCAGCTACCGTTTACTATTACTTGAATCGCCCGTCCCAGCTCAGGCGGCCGCTAGGTACTCGTACGTGTGAAGATAAGGAGGGGGAAATAAGCGTAACTAGCTTGCTTGCTCGGAGCCTTTACGACGAAAGGAGCACAAGGTCAGTCAGCACAAAGGATCTTACTAACTACTTATACCGACCTGACGAACGAATAACTGGGCCGCTACCCTTTTCATTTACTATTATTTTTATTTCATACGTTTATTTTGCTGGCGTACCTCCTCTCTGTCTTGTTTTTCTTATTCCCGCTGTCAGAAAGTTCGATGTTCTTCCGCCAGGACAAATGTTTGCATCGATCTCTCGAGCAAGAAATCGTATCTGCTACTAGATAGAAAAACTGTTAAAAAAAATACACTTTACCTTTGACAGTTCTATCACACGACACGCATGGTGTGTGTTGGAGAGTCAATTTTAATTGAAAATTCTTCGAAAGAGAAAGACGAGAATTGTAAACGACTTTTCGCAAACCATCAGCGATTGAAAGCACAAGTTTCCCTCTGAAAATTCCATCACGACACGGTGTGTGTTCGAGCGCCACTTTTCAAAATTCTTCGAATGAGGAACACGAATATTGCAAACGACTCGACATTTTGAAATCCATCAGTAATAGTTGTTGGCGTTTATAGTTCACCTAAGAATTAATCTGTTGGACAATAGGTTGGATGTGATTCCACGAAAAGAAATGGTTCGTCGATCTGCAGAATTGGGAGTCATACATCCCTTTTATTTAAAATAATGCTAAGAAAAAAAAATTCTAGCAGGGCATACATTTGACTGCCATTTTCTCGTAAATTTTCTGGAGGAAAAACCAAGAAATTTGTAACGGTTCTTCGCATCTAGACACGTTTGAAAGGTTTTAACTAAAAAGCTTTTCTTAAAATCACAATTTCAAAAGTTATATGTTGATCGGTTGCGGAGAATGTTCGCATCAATCTTTCAAGTGAAGTGCCGAAAAACTGTTGCAAAAACGAAGCTACGCAGAAGAGAATTGTACAATGAGATGAAGTATTTGAGTTTTTAAATGTTTGTCGAGAGAAAAAAAGTATTGAAATTGTGCATCTCTGTAAAATTTCGAAGCTTCTGCTTGTACATCAGCACCTTTTTGAGATTGTGAATTTAGAAGTTATATGTTTATTTGCTGCGGCAAATGTTTGCGTTTAAACTTTTGAATGATGAATGCGTTTATCCCCAGCTTGAAAGAAAAAAAAAAATGATGTGCCGATCAACTTGGTTTCTCAGACAGTTTTATGTCGAGCATTTCAGTGTTTTTATTTTGGTTATTCTTGATTTTTGAACGGAGAAAACGAAATTTTCAGTGCCATCATCAGTCGAACTTTCTCCGAAGTCGGACGAATTTTGGCATAAAAGCACTCCGAAATGAGGATGGAATTGTAATTGGTTTGAATCATGATTCGACCTCAATCTGTGTTGTTTTGTTTGCCTTCACTGGTGTTGGAATAATGCAGCAACGCATCTCTATCAAATGCGATGCGGGTAAAATGTTTTGTTGAACAAATCTCTTAGATTAGAATATACTCTAGGGAAGGCTATTTTGAGAAAAGAGTCAAGTGCTCTACTGTCGATGATTGTGCATTGAAACATGGTTTTTATTCCAAATTAATGTTTCGTCGAACTAGTTCCGTTTGCACCCCGGGGCAGAAAATAAATAAATAAAAGCAGCTCTCCGGAAAATTGTTCTGCTTCATGCCTTGATTATTCTGAGGATAAAAACTTTATGCGTATATTTTAAATATATAATACCACTGGTATGGAAAAATTTCCCATTAGCCCATTAGCATTTGTACAGACTTATTCAACATGATCTAAATTTGATAGAGAGCCACATTCTAAAACTTGCAAATGAATACAGTTGAACCTCAACAACTCAATCCTCCCTAAGTGGTATACCTAATTAATTCAATTTTTTCAAGTTCCCGTCTCAATTCTCTTAGAAACAATGAATAAAAACGTCCCTATCTTGAGGGCTTCCCCCCTCAAACCTCTGTAAATGTCATTTCCTGAGGCATTTTGGCTATTTTTTTCGTTTACACAGGAAAGAGAGAAGCAAGAAAAATTAGTTCGATNCAGGGTCGAGTCCGCCGGCGATCCATGAGCATGCACACTTCTATTCCTCCCCCTTTATTCGCATTGATCGAACGAACGAGCCTCGGAAATGCTGCTTTCCTCGTGTTCCAGTCAGTCGTGTTTCCTATACTCACTAACTACTTATACCGACCTGACGAACGAATAACTGGGCCGCTACCCTTTTCATTTACTATTATTTTTATTTCATACGTTTATTTTGCTGGCGTACCTCCTCTCTGTCTTGTTTTTCCTATTCCCGCTGTCAGAAAGTTCGATGTTCTTCCGCCAGGACAAATGTTTGCATCGATCTCTCGAGCAAGAAATCGTATCTGCTACTAGATAGAAAAAACTGTAAAAAAAATACAATTTACCTTTGACAATTCTATCACACGAAAACACGACACGCATGGTGTGTGCTGGAGAGTCAATTTTAATTGAAAATTCTTCGAAAGAGAAAGATGAGAATTGTAAACGACTTTTCGCAAACCATCAGCGATTGAAAGCACAAGTTTCCCTCTGAAAATTTCCATCACAACACGGTGCGTGCTCAAGCGCCGATTTTCAAAATCCTTCGAATGAGGAACACGAATATTGCAAACAACTCGACTTTTTGAAAACCATCAGTAATTGTTGTTAGCGTTTAGTTCACCTAAACAATAATTTGTTGGGCAGATGTAATTCCACGAAAAGAAAGGGTACATCGATCTGCCGAATTGGGAGTCATATCCATCCCTTTTATGCAAAATAATGCTAAAAAAAATTCTAGCATGGCATTAATTCGACAGCCATTTTCTCGTAAATTTTCTGGAGGAAAAACCAAGAAATTTGTAACGGTTCTTCGCATCTAGACACGTTAGAAAGGTTTTAACTAAAAAGCTTTTCTCAAAATCACAATTTCAAAAGTTATATGTTGATCGGTTGCGGAGAATGTTCGCATCGATCTTTCGAGTGAAGTGCCGAAAAACTGTCGCAAAAACTATGAAAATCGTACAATGAGATGAAGTATTTGAGTTTTAAAATGTTTGTCGAGAGAGAAAAAGCGTATTGAAATTGTGCATCTTTGTAAAATTTCGAAGCTTCCGCTTGTACATCAGCACCTTTTTGAAATTGTGAATTTAGAAGTTATATGTTTATTGGCTGCGGCAAATGTTTGCGTTTAAACTTTTGAATGATGAATGCGTTTAGCCCCAGCTTGAAAGAAAAAAGAAATGTTGTGCCGATCACCTTGGTTTCTCAGACAGTTTTATGTCGAGTATTTCAGTGTTTTTATTTTGGTTATTCTTGATTTTTGAACGGAGAAAACGAAATTTTCAGTGCCTAATCTTGGCTCAGTGAACGAGTGAATTGTCTCAGCTTTTAGTCAGTCGTCTTTTTTTTTTTTAGGTAGTGAGTTGTTCTGAACGATCGAACATCGCTTGAAAGGTTAATTGTGCTGTGATATACAGGGTCACTCATTTCGAGCAAGTTTTCTTTTTTTTGCGCCTATGACTTGCGTAATTTTTGGCAATTTTTTTGCGTTCAAATGGACTCAATAAGACTGCTGTGGATGAAGCAGTTTTCGCGTTCATGTTCTCGATTTTGGATAGGACATTGGAACATGTTCGCGAAGTTGGGTCACCTAAAAGAATGTTTCATTTATCGCGTGCTAATTATTGCGTTGGCAGTGCTTTTGTTTCGGACGGATGGACTACTGCACATTTGTCTTGATGGAAAGCTAAAGATTTTTACGAAAATATAAATTCATCAGCGTTTCATTTCAACAAATGAAGTTGCGATACGTGAGGTTCACTGTGGATTATTTTGTGAAAGATAGAATGCATTGGAGAAAAAAAAATCAGTAAGCTAGATTGTGATTTTCTGTTCAATTATCGTAATTTCATAGCTTTAGATTCATGCAGAAATATTGTTACAGGCTTAATTTTTAGGATTTTTAAGATTCTCAATGCACTGATTTTTGTGCATCTCATCTGGAATTATATAAGTCCAATATAGAACAGAATAAATGTCGGGTTTTTCCGGGTGATACACTACAGTAGTTGAAATATATGTGACAATTTAAAAGTTTGTAGGTTACTCTTGATTTTGGGGTAAAATTTCAAGACAGTAAACTTTTAACTGAAAAACTATCCTGCAATAAAATAGACGTGTTTCCTCTCATTTTCTTTGGTTTCCATTTATATTAACTTCGCATTTGTTGGAAAAAAAATGCTTCAGAGAAACAATATTTTTTACATCAGCGACATCCTGCGGAAATTTTCTTCTGCCGAGTGTTTCTCAAAAATAATAATTAAAAATAAAAATTGGACGTTTTGCAATTTTTCAAATATCCTATTCTCGATAGGAAATTAGGAACTGAAAGCAGTTGATTTTTGAATACTTTACTATGAATGAAATAATTGAAATTGATTGGCTGATTTCTGCCTCCACTAGCATCTTTATTCTTTTCCTGGTCAGAAAGTTTCGAAATAACTAAAGAATACATTTATCACTCGCCTTAAGCATTGCTCTGAATAATTTTTAAAAAAATTTCGAGGATGGTATATGCGTAAATTTACATTACAGACCCATGATTATACCATCATAATAGAGCACAATTGTGCTCGGTTAATAAAAAACGGGTTTTTGATTAATAAAAAAAGATTTTTAATTTAAGCTCGCGTGCTCGACGAAAGAATAATTTAAAATCGCGAATGAGACGCTTTACTGGCAAAAATTGAATCAGCAGCTGATGTTCGGTATTTTATTTGTAATCATTCAAAAGACGAATCATTCAAAGATTAGCCGAGGATTTTTTTTTCGTCAACTAACTGTGTATATAAATTATTCATGCCTCGGCGCAAGTTTTTACTAAAACTTGATCTTTCCCGTCAAGACTAGAATATCCCCGAGCTTCGTCAGAATGAACTCTGGAAAGTTTTAGAGGTCTCCGCTGGACTCTCTTCCACAGTCGTCGCACTCAATCATGGAGAAAAAAAAGAGAAAGCGGAAGAGTAAACCAAGACCGAATAACTGTTCTCACTCACGAACTCACACGATCCAAGAAAAGCCGTTGAACCAAGTTCGGAAAAGGATGAGGAAGCGCGTGAGAAGGGGGAGAACTAGCTTCCGGTCGAGCGGAAAAGAAGTTCGCGCCGAGGTTTTTGCGACGACGACGACGACGACGACGACACCCTGGACATGTGCGATTTCTCCGCTTTCCCGTCTCCGGGAATCTCCTTCTCACCGAGCTGCACAATGCGGTACCCAA